GAAAATAAGGCATATTTACCCTCTGTATTTACAGAGGCAGTGCATTTGAAAATCAACACAACTGATGCAATGTAGTCTAAAACTCTTTATCATCTGCAACAGGGTCTGACTTGTTCTTAAATTTCCTCTCAAGGCAACAGTTTTGATACCTACAATTTACAAAGGTAGCAGCACCATATGAGGAAAACCTGAAGAAGAAAAATAAAAATAACTTGAGCTGACTGCTGAATATTCAGCTTGAAACATAGAAATGAAAGGATGACAATATCCATTGATGCTGACTCAATCATATGATTTCAAACACAGTAAATAAACTTCAGAAAAAGGAGGGGGAATAAAGTAATCTGCTAAACTATTTAAGGAGCAGATAAAAATGACGAATGCTATTGAAGGCCTTTTAAATAGCAACTAAAATATAACACCACTTCGCAAAGCAAAGTTCACCAGTGAATTTGAATTGAAGTGTTTATTTTATTCCTTTTTTCCCCTTCAAGGGAGACTATCATGTTGATTATCCATGGCGATCTACCTCAATAAATGCATCAGCATAGTTTAACATTGGACCAATTGGATTAGCAGATTATATTTTGATATTGCTCTGACTGACGCATACGTTGTGACTAACAATCAAGTATCAACAATCACTAAATTTTTGTGTGTGTATGTGTGTGTGTGTGTGTGTGAGAGAGAGAGACCTTATTGCATTCAATAATCCAGCCTCATAAAAAACAAACCATACCCTTCATATAAGGTTTAAACCTAATCTAAATTAAGCAAAACTTATTCTAGGAAATAAATCTCAAAATATAAAATTACGAATATAAAAGTAACATCTAATTAATCTATTATCTTTAAGAATCTCAATCAGTTTCACTCTAAATAATGCAATAGAGATATCTTCCAATACCACCTCCTCCATCAAGAAGAATAAAGCAAGGTGTTATTCACCACCAAATTCCTTGGCAAAGTTTGAGGAATGCAAAGTATATGCGTGTGAGTGCAAGTTCATATAATTGAGCCAAAAATGAACACGTGTGCCACAAGACCCACATAAAGCATGACCATCACAAGCCAACCCAAATTGGCGTACACGTACAGCACAACTGCACTTAACNCCATCACAAGCCAACCCAAATTGGCGTACACGTACAGCACATCTGCACTTAACATTTCTCTTTTGCGAACTAAATAACTAAATCTATTGTAAATTGAATGTGTTATACCACTTTTCAAAGTACCACAGGCAAAAAGAGAACTTTTCCAAGAGCCACTTATCCATAAAGATCTCAATTTCATATCTGACCTCTGCAATCTACAACTAATTCAGTTTCTGACTCGTAACTATTACTTCACCATAATCAATTCTAAGATGGAGTGATGGAAAGCATTTCAGCACCATGTTTGATCATGCTCCCACTATAATTCCATCAATTGCTCACTATTAAAAGATGATAACAAATAAGGTGATATCTACAATACAAGTCTACAACCAGATACAGACCTCCACAAATTTATCAATGCCCCTTATCACAGCAGGAAATGATTGATTAATTGAATGTTGATGAGTCTGTGTAGCCATGATTATTACCTTAGAAGAGAAGGGAACTAATGGAGATGGCTTAACATATATCATTTCTCCAATAACAATTTAAAACCCAAGAGAGTTTCATAAAACAAAGTTAAGAGTGCCTAGCAAAAACCGAGGTCATCTTAGGCTCCTCAATCATATCAAAACATTTTTATAGTCATAGACTCATAGTAAATTGGTTGTGGTTAAACACGAATCCAGGAAGATGCTAATCAAACTCAATTCAAGCTTCAATTCGGGAAAAGAAAATTTGCGAGTGTTATAAATCTCTAGTGTCAAGGGATACTGTGATTTTGGAGCCTTATAAGTTATAACTCAGCTTTCTGATTTTCTCTAATGATGTTAAGGAGCTTTTGAGATTTCTTTTTCTGAAATGCTTTATAAGTTCGGTGAAAATAATATTTGACCCTTCATTTCTCCTTTTTTTTCATATAACCGTGAATGTTTGAGCCAACTTGCGCGCACTTCGACTAATCCCACATGACCCTGAAGTTTACAGCCGGGTACTCACCTCAGTGGTCCTGAGGGGAGTCAAACTGATGACCATTGGGGAGCAAACCTAAGACCTGACCAATTGAACAACCCCTCAAGATTCCTTCATTCGCCCTTTTGATCTAAATATTAGAGAAATGCATGCCTTTAAAAATAAATGTTGATTATTATACATGCACGTAAATAGTGAAATGCATACTTGAATATGAGTATTAGAATAACAACTAAATGCATAAATGAAGATGAATGGAAAATACAATACATAAATTAAAGTGGATGTTAATTAATTTAAAATTAATATCAAAGAATATATACGTGACAATGAATGTTAAATCATTTATACTAAATAAATATAATTTA